AGAGCCCCTTGATCTTTTATTTCCCATCAAAATTCATTCTCAGCTTTGTATTTTTTGCAGATAACCTTTTTGCATCAGCAGTTCATTTTGAATACGTTTAAACATTTCATTCAAATGTTATTTCAGTTTTGGTAGGGCCAGGGTGTTGTTGTTGTTCTTGGTTTTTTTCAACCTTCATTCAGTTAACATGCAGGGATGTTGACTCTGCCTTTTGTTCAAAGCAATGCATAGATGGACATCTCTAAAGTTGTTAGAGGAGAAACTTTGTGAATTGGGTCATTCTGTAGACTGTCTTCCTAAATAGTAGTGTTCTTTGGTGTGCAATAATGGTAGATCTTAGATTTTCCTCTGTGAGATAGCTGACACATTTCTTCACCAAATAGTCATGGATCTAACTATCTTAGTAATGGTTTGGTAAGTAATGAGGACATTGTAGAAATTCTGGTTATAAAATGCAACTTATCTGAGTGATCATAAGCAGATGGGGATGTTAAAAGGACAAGTAAACAATGTAAATCCGTAACTATGGTCAACTTTGAAAGGGCAAACTTTGATAACCCAAGCAAATGAGTTAGTGAAGCAGATAGACTAAAGATCTCAGAGATTTGCATGCAGACAAGCCCTGGATTTCTTTATATCAAAAGTACTAAACTGTCTGAAAATTGTTTCCCTAATCAAAGGCAGGGCCAGGGGAGATGAGGAGTGGGAATTGGGGAGAAGTTGTAGAGAAGGGCTTCAGACCTAGGTGAATAGATCCTTCCTGAGCTGGTCAAGGAACAATCTGCTTATAAAGAATGAGAAAAGCAAATGTGATCAGCTAAAAAAGCTCTGAATTAGAGATCAAGAATCATAGGGATGACGTGAGTGTTACCAGAAGTCAAGCTGAGTTAAATTTTGCAAAGGCTATTAAAACAAATAGCTAAAGGTTTTTTAGCTATATAAATAAAATGAGAAGGAAGAAAGGCATCACTGTGCAGTGAGGATAAGTAGACACTAAAGTTATCTAATTATAAAACATATTTTGATTTTCTTTTACATTTCACTAATTTTTAAGGATTTCATTGCCTGAGATTAGTGTGCAGTAGTATTGGAGTTAAGTAATTTTTTTCCAGAATATTGAAAATATCTGGTTGTCTTATTAGCATATCAAATATTATTTCACTTTCCTCTTCAAATGGTCAAACTATTACTTCTAAGTTTTTTAAAGTAGTAGGAAATAGTAGCATTCATCATTATTTAAATAACATATTTTCAAACAATCTTGAAACTTTTTCCTACTTTCACTTCATTGGAAATTTGCTAGAACAACATAAGAAATCCCAGCTGAAGATGATTTAAATTCCTCCAATATTATCAATCAAGCCTTTTCTGTTTATTATGACCAGAACTATGATCTGTTATAGCCAAATAACCTATAGCTGTCAACCAGAATCCAGTTATCCATTTTGTTGAATAGTATGCAGCTCTAATAGAAGTATTTGCGATCATTTATCATTCATGGTGGTGAGCAAATCATCAAATTTGACAGCATAGTATATATACAGTGTTCATGCTGAAATGGAAACTAGAATTTATTTTAAAAATCCTGGTTTAAAATGAAATGTTGCTGTATATGTTATGACTCATAGGGCTCCTACACACATGTTGGGAGCCTGCTTCAATGTGCAGGGCACTTTGAAATAAAACACGTCCAATGAGCTATAGTTCAAAGTGCCACGCAGACATTTTTTCAGTGCAGGGATGAGCAGTGACGCTGATACATGTGATGTTCAGGCACTTTTAATTAGCACAGCTTGCTAATTAAACCACCCAGAGCCACATCTGGGAGCACATATAAAAGTGCACATACTGATTTCAGTGATATTTAAATCCATACACTAAAAATAATTTAATTTAAAATAGTATTTTGAAAATGCAAGTTCTTAGCTATGAAAATGTGGGCTCAGACCAGCTGAATATGGTTATAGATCATGGACATGTAAAGTTGTTCACCAAACCTGATCTGTGTTCAGCAGCTTGTTTTAAACTGTGTTAAGATAGACCAGGAGTGGCATATACAAGTGTTAGCTGGTACTAGAAGATATGTAAGGAACCTGAAGTAAGTAACTACAGTAGGACGGGATTGGGGTGGGGATGGGGATTGTTGGATCTGTGGGCAGGATTGTCTATCCAGGGATGAAGGTTGGGGGGCTAAAAGTAGCCTGGTCAAGGTGGGGAAGGGAGGGGGCAGTGGGGAAGGTAGGAAGAGCACAGCCCCGGGAATGGGACAAACAGCTGGACTTTTGCAGCCTCAGGAGTGCCCTCCAAATGCGTGCACATGTTTGATAGATTGGGTTAATAGCAAGAACATTAATATTATCCATTCTTGACAGTGGTTTTCCTTGAAAACATTTGTATAGCATATCATCATGCTGGCTTGAATCAGTGTAGTTCCACTGAAGTCAATTTATATCAAATGAGAATCTGATCCTAAACTGGCTTGGCAGCAAAAGATTCTAGTTGAATACAATAGAGAAAAATGTAAGATGAAGGCTAGAGTGTGTGCTTGTGTAAGGAAGAAATAGCTAATGGATAACATGTTCCACGAAAAGATCCCTTCATTTAGTGTAAAATGCAAAGGCAATCTTTTCCACACTTAATCAAAATGCCATCCTTGGCTGCACGCCATTGAGTGTTCACTCATAGAACATTTGTTGTTCCGTATATGAGCTACAAATGTCTTTGTTAATGATGAAAGGATCCTACTTGCCTCAAGAAATGCTAAACTATACATTTCTGTGCTGTTCTTAACTTCTAATCTTAAAATATCTTTGACATTAATGGCATATCTCAGTTAGAAATAGCTTAATGTACAGAGATGTACACGTGGGTCAAAACTAACTAAAACTAGGTGACAGTCTTCCTTTAACTAAAATTCCAAGCACAAATAACTTGCCTTTGGAGATGATTTATTTGCCCAACCTGTTAGTATGCTTATGCATCCTCTCTGTGTGGCTGCCACTTTCTTATTGTCTCCATTTGATATTGGAGCCCATAGGCGATTGGTAGGGGGTACATGGGGGTGTACGTGCCTCCCCTGACAGGGCCGGTGCCCCCCCTGACAGCCAACACTGATGCTATCAGTAGGGCTGGTGCTCCCCCGGCAGGGTCGACAGCTTCTACGGGTGCCCCCCCAGATTCAGGAGGCACCAGTCACTCATGTTGGAGCCACTGGATTTTCATGGGTATTTTTCTGTGACAGTATTCCTGCCTCATTCAGATCTGCTCCAGA